GTGACGCGTGTCATCATTTCATCCCATATGTGTATTAGAATCCACAAAATCCGCTCTGAACACTCAAGTTTAGGCGTAATTTTCCGAAATTCATTGAGTGGAAGGCCTGCTTCAGGTTTTTGAAGGTGGTCTAGATGCTAATCCGGTGACAAGGGAGATAATTCTTTAGGGTTATCGTATATTTTTTGAGTTTCCTTTGCGTCTGCATGGGGCTATTTGTGTGCCACGTCTAGTATAACTGTGGAATAAACTTGTCAATAAGTTGGTTTAGAATTGAGTAGACATTTAGAGGTTTTCCATTGAGCATTTTTTGGGTTGCGAATTATGAGCTAATTTGGAGAAGGACGTTCAACGACAGTACTGATCTCCATTTATAGCCGGTTGATAAATCGAGTCATGGTTCACTGGTCCACAGTCTATAAACAAGTGCAACAACTTGTCAAATTCATATTCGGTGCTGATGCTCAATTTGGCTAAAGCTAGTCGCCACTTGGGGAGCGTACCTGCCAACGCGTCATCCAACACTAACACTGGGAAACCAGATGGCCGAGCAACCAGCACGTCCGATTCCACAACGTGGGATAAAGATTCAACAGGTCACGGCCCGCACGCTAGTCAAGCAATTAGTGCATAAGCGGGCAATTATCCTCGATAGGGGAGTCGTTAATTTTCATAAGGGTGCAGTATCATAGTGACTGTATCCTATAGATACTGCATCTCTCTGTGCATGAATTGCCTATTTCTGCTACTGTTTGTGCTAACATCTCTAATGAAAAACCCGCGACGGATTTCAAAACGTCAGGTGAATAAAAGTCTTGTCCCAGCAATCCCATTTTCTTCTCACTTCCTTGCTCGTCTACTGAATCCGCGCCCACATCCTATCGGCCTGACTTTATCTTGCGGTTGAATCGTTGCACCTCAAGGCTGGAGATCTGAGTCAGGCCATGTGAATCTCGCCAGTTATTGCTGCGTCATCTTAATAATTGTTGCCTATCATGCCAAAGATTTTTGCTGTTCCATCTTTCTTAACAATGATTGGACTTATCGTAGAAAAAAATTCATACTTCATTACTCAAAGTAAAAAGCGGAAATTGAGAAGTTGAAATCTGACCTATCTCCATAGTGGACGTGGATACCGTGTAAAACTTGAATTGTGAGTATTACATGACCTTTTACCTTTTAACATGACTCATTACTTAACCTCAGTGAATGGATCCATTTTTTTCGCTGAAAATTTATGATGTTTATTCGTAGATAAAGCAAGATTTTCTTCTTCTTCTTTTATTTTTCAGCGCTATTCTATGGCTGTCGCCGGTTCTCATTTTTTTGGATCACTTAACGGTTATGCTCTCCCCTCTTGCTTGTTATCTTCAGATTTCACCGGAGAAGAGCCTAGAGTATTAATATTGTGCCTTTTAGTGGTTACTGCTCACACTATGTCATTTATACTGCTTTAGGTTTGAAAGATTGACTGTCTTTTTCGCTTACCCTCCACCTCTTCTCGCATCCTTTCATAGACTTTCACCAAGTCTCGCCTAGTACGTGTTGCGCGTTCTCACCGTCACGGCCGATTTCCTACCATTGTGTGGCAGCATGCAGACACTCGCGCTTTTCTCTTGCGCGGCAGTGCCTTTCAGACGAAGTCCATCTTCTCGGCGATGAAACACACTGCTACGGCTGCGGTTAGCGGGTCTGGGACTTATCCGGAGAAACAGGCCAATGGTAATAGCATATTTTACAATCCCCTTTTGTCAACGCATTGCCTACATTTTGTTGCTAATGCCTCCATGCTTATGCGCTGAAAGGCACGTGCGTGAATCGCAACGCTGCCGGCCATGACAGCGTACGCCTTGGCTGGGACCTCAGATCTTTCATCAGATCTAATTATTCCATGTCTGTGAGAAGTCTTTTGATTCTTTCGCTTCAAGCTGATACTTTAAATACACACCGCCTTTTAGTGAGGAGGACTCCCCTCTTGTTAGTACAGTTTTCTCGTGGGCGAGTTCCTTCTCTTCCTCTTCCGTGTTGGCTTTGGAGACATCTCCTGGGCAAGCCCATCGTTCGTTTTAATCATAAATCCCAGGCCCGAGTCATAATACAGTTTCACTGCACATTTTTCACGCTAGGGTTTGCCTTCTTTTAATCCCTAACGCCTTTCGTGGGCTGTTTGAACTGTGTGCTTCAAGTTGTCCCGTCTGTCTTGCTTGCCTTTGTACATAGGCTTTTTGTCGTTTTTCCGATATCTCCTTGTACTTTTTCCGTTCGTGTCCCTTTAAAAGGTCATACACATCGCCCCAGACTGCTGCTTGCCGTTTTGGTGCTTCTTGTATTCTGACACTTTGGCAAACTTAAAGTCACTCCTCTCCTGCCATTAGATCGTTAGTTCTCATGTAGGGGCAATATATTTACGATACTGGTTCCAGAAGGCCCCAGTTGC